AAAACCTCCTAAATAGATGAGCATCATCAGGGTTTTATATCTGGTCTCAATAGACTGCTTTGCAAAACAAGTTCAAACCATTTGTAAAGTTGGAACAACATTTGCAATTAATGTTTGAATGGTTTTCATTGATTAATTGCATCAGACAAAGTTGTGGATGACACAATTGAATTAAATGACAGTAGCAGTAAATTTCAGTTCCCTTTTGGATTTGGTTTGCAAATTGGTGGTGCCAGTTAGATGGGTTAGCATTAAAATTAATTTCTCTACACCCTATTATGGATCCATTGCCAGACATGGTTATCATACTTTCCACAGTGTAGAGACTTTCCCTCACACCAACTCACTCTCCACCATTTCCTTTTCTCAAATTTTAATAATGCAGTGTAACCCAGTCATTTGTCTCCCCACCTGCTTTTGTAGAATGCAAACAAAACACAGGGGGAAGAAATGAAGAAGACAGGAGAAAAAGCATAAACCTTCAAGTTACTACTGTCTGTTATTACATTTTTCAACAACCTTATTTCTAGAAACCAACTGATCACTTCAGCAAATAATTCAGCTAGATGAATAACTGTGAAACATTTTCACAATGTCCCAGACGTGTTAAAAAGAAATTCATACACTGCAATCTGCAATTTGTTTTGTATAAAATTGTTATCCACTTTATCATCATTGACAAAATTGCTTTTCAAATTTTGTACAACCTGGGCATACTAAATGCACTCTAATGAGTTCAAAAAATTGTAATGGCACTGCTAATTCTACATCGAGCTTGGAATCAAGCTTGTCTCCTTTCTTCAAAGGAAAATAGGATTATCAAGTGTACTAGGAGAATTTTCTGTGATTGATGGGAAGTACGAGTAATCACCTTTGAAGTGCCACTGCATATAATACCATTCCAGTGTTCTCCTTTCTTCCCTTCCTTCTGACATCCATGAGTAATTGAAGGTAAAGAAACAGGTTACTATGATCAATGAACCCCTGATGACAGCTCCATCTCAAAATATCCACCAAATACTATAGGATGACAGGAACATCATCTTTAGAACTTTGCAGCTGGTAACAAGGCAAAAAGCATGTTGAATGAATGTAAGTAGAGGAATGCTGGATCAGACTGAAGGACTACCTGTTCTATGATAGCATTTACAGAGGAACTCACCAGATGCCTCTATGAATTGATTCCCTGACCAGATAACAAGAGGGACATGAGTGCAATACTACCCTCCCACTCACATTCACCAGCAACTAATACTGAGAGGCAGACTTGCATCTGATAGTGGAAGGAAAGGTATCCATCATGACTTCTACTGCTGGTCCCCTGTCCTCCATGTTAGCCAATTGGTGGCTTAAGCTGCCTCTAGTGGTAGTGAATTCCACAAGTCAGCCATATTGCTTTGTAATTGCTGGGGAGAGAAGGATCCATACAGAATTACACACCACTGACTGACTGACTAAAAGGAATGGCAAAATATGTGCTCCTTTATGCCAGCCACTTTGCTACACAGAATTTTTAGCTGTAAAGGATATTAAAGGAGCCTTTCCAGATTAGAACAATGGTCTGTTTAGACCACATTGTTTGTTAGTTAGTTTGTTGTTGCTATTTTATATTGTATTAAAAAAAAAAACAATGGTTAAAACAGCTTAAAACACAGTTAAAACATAATAACTAATAAAAAAGACAGCACAGCAACCACTTCATATACACTTGTTGTTGTGTGTGTGTTCAAGTCATTTTCAATATATGGTGACCCTAAGGTGAACCTATCATGGGGTTTTGTGGGGCTGAGAGTGTGTGACTCACCCGATGTCACCTAGTGGGTTTCCATGGCTGAGCAGGGAATCAAACCCTGATCCCCAAAGTCCAAGTCCTATGCTCGAACCACTGTACCACACTGGCTCTCTCACACACTACCACTACATATTTTAAATCTCAAAGCCCTATCTGAATTTTAAAAGGTCTTCAGCTGGTGGTAGAAAGCAAGCAAGGAGGGGCTAAGTGGACCTCCATCTCAAAACATGGAAGGGTGATCCACAGATTGGGAGCAGCAACAGAGGAGGGTTTCTCCCATGTCTTCATCAAACTTCCCTGTGAGAGTGGTGGGACTGAGAAAAAGCCCTCTCCTGCTGATCTTAAAACTTGAGCTGGCTCATATAGGGAGATAGTCTTTCAGATGTAGGGCTTTAAAAGATATTGGAAGAAGGGTGAGGACTCAAAGTGTTAGGATATGGATGGGATATACAGTCAAAGGTGAAATGTAAA